GTTTTATTGTCCATAATATATCCTGCATTTATCATGTTGCACATTTCTTTCTTTTGCAGAATCTTGAGTGCTTCTGTCCATGCCATATGTGACATGTCAATTTCTCCTGTGTGAGATCAATAAAGTCTATCTTATCTTATCTTATCTTATCTTACTAAGGGACTTGCTTCAGTTTCCAGCACATTCAAAAGTAAACATTTTAGAACATAAATGCAAACGTATACAATTAATCAAATGCACAATTCATTAAACATGCAAAAACTTTGGTCAAATTTCAGCCAAAGTTTCAGATTCTGATGAATGAAGATGTTTTGTCTGTCTGTGTTTTAGATCAGAGGGAAGAATGTTCCACAATCTACATTAGCGGAAAAGGATTGTCCAAAACAGTTCAGATCACAGTCTGACTGAGGCTCTGTGTTAGCTCTATAGAACCACAGAGTCTGACTGAGGCTCTGTGTTAGCTCTATAGAACCACAGAGTCTGACTGAGGCTCTGTGTTAGGCCTATGGAACCACAGAGTCTGACTGAGGCTCTGTATTAGCTCTATGGAACCACAGAGTCTGACTGAGGCTCTGTGTTAGCTCTATAGAACCACAGAGTCTGACTGAGGCTCTGTGTTAGCCCCATGGAACCACAGAGTCTGACTGAGGCTCTGTGTTAGCCCCATGGAACCACAGAGTCTGACTGAGGCTCTGTGTTAGCCCCATGGAACCACAGAGTCTGACTGAGGCTCTGTGTTAGCTCTATGGAACCACAGAGTCTGACTGAGGCTCTGTGTTAGCTCTATGGAACCACAGAGTCTGACTGAGGCTCAGGAGATCAACAATTCAAATGTTATGCAAATTTTAATAGTACAATTTTCAGATCCGCGGCTCGTACATCTTTTTTTCTTTTTTGCATCAAAATATTATTATCTCTAGAACTCCCAGAGAAGTCAATTTGATGGCCTTTACTTTTGGAAGAGTAATTACTTATAAACCTCATAGGCTCATAAACCTTTTTTGCCTTCTTAACTTTGTGAGTTTTTTCTGTTTCTACGTTTTGTTTATTTCTATGTCATTACTTTTAAGAAA